GCATACAAAGATTTGGTCAGTCTATGCCAGTCTCTGGGCACAAATATGCAATGTACTGCACCGACTTATGTGAGAGGAGGCTGTTAAAAGCACAGTCCACTTCTCATGATGTGGTTGTCTCCTGACAGTTTCCTCATGTAGTAACCAAACCCGTAATTTTAGAAGATGTAATATATGCAGGACTTGGTTTGTGCTAAAACCCATGGCCACAGATAGTATGTGGACAAATAAATTATAGTGGTTACAGCATAGAAAGGCTGCTTGTGAAAGTGGGTTGTTTGAGTTACAGATCCAGGCATACGTGTCCTGTGGTCAATTGGGATGTTACCCTGAAAATTAGAACTTCAGTCGATTTGCCCTTCCTCTCTGAATGCTGAACAGGAGTGACACTGCTACTTGCTTTGTGTATTCCTGTGTTTCATCAAATCATAGAGTAGTTTGGGTTGGAAGGGACCTTTAAAGGCCATCTAGTTCAATCCCCCTGCAGGGACATCTTCAGCTAGATCGGTTTGCTCAGAGCCCTGTCCAGCCTGAGCTTGAATGTTTCCAGGGATGGGGCATGCATGGCCTCTCTGGGCAACCCATTCCAGTGTTTCACCACCCTCATTCTAACAAAGTTCTTCCTTATATGTCTAAATCTACCCTCTTTAAGTTTAAAACCATTACCCCTTGTCCTATTGCTACAGGCTTTGCTAAAAACATTTTCTTATAAGCCCCCTTTTAAGTATTGAAATGGCTATAATAGGGTCTCCCTGGAGCCTTCTCCAGGCTAAACAACTGCAGCACTCTGTCTGTCCCCATAAGGAGAGGTGTTCCATCCCTCTAAACTTCAAAAGGGAATAGTGATGGTGTTCTTTGGGTCCCCTCCTGGTAGAGCTATCCTTTCCATAAGCTGGAGGTACAGTTAGTGACATTCATAAATTTCACAATCGCTCTCTGACTGTATTATTTACTTATGAGCCAAAATGAACCGTGATCACTGAGGATCAACACAAAATTAATAGCTGGAGGATTTTTTTAGTAGCAGCACGTTTAGGTTTATAACTGTACTAGATATACTTGTGTCACAAACAACAAATTCCATTTACTGAAGTGAGTGTACAGGTTATCACAGTGCACTGCAGGAGTCCCTGGTTCAGTAGGGGCTGCAAGCACCAGGTATTCCTGCTTTGCTCTGTAATGATGCCTCCTGTCTGCACCCCGAGGTGCAGTGTTTTTTCCACCTAGAAATTCCATCCAGTTTCTAGTTGAAAAACTGAAATGTCAGCCTTAAAATGAGAAGCAGCAGCCTCATTTTAAAAGGCTTTTAAGTAGTTACAGCCTCAAGTAGCTGCCTACTAAGATTTCTAAGAATATTTCTGTGCTTAATCTCTGTTACTTTTAGCCATCTAAGAGGTTTTATTAAGTCTGTTTCTTTGGGAACCTTTTGAAGTTAGGTATGAGTAAGTCTGAAGGAATGGTGCAGGGTGACATGGGACAAAAATCTAACTTGAAAACTATGTTCTTAAATGTTTTTTGAGGTTTGTCTGTATTGCACTTGCCTTTGTACTTTCAAATGATATAATATGAAATAAGCCTGTATAGTGCAAAATGCTCTGAGAGTGTTTCATTCGGTTTTGTTGCAAGTTAGGGGAAAAATCCCCGCATGCCGGGGGGAAAAAAAAAGAAGTAAAGCCTTGAAAAATTGTAACAGTATTGGTTTCAAAGCCTTGCAGACAGCATCACATGAAAGCTGTCTGAACACTTGCATCAAGTATTTCAGTAGTTTTTCAGTAAGAATTTAATGTGGAGATATGCTGTAATTATAGATCCACACACCTTTGAATTCCATATTTAGAGACAACACTTGAATTTAAATGGATCTTAAAGGAGCATCTGAGATCTTGCCAAACAAGGAGTCCTCTAGTGTAAAGGGATATTGTTTTCTGTTCCTTCCTGCCTCCTAAATAATGGTGCAGAGGACACTGTCAGGCTGTTATGGCAGTTGGGCTTTGTCTGCTGCCGTCATCATATTTACTAATACAGATTTGTATCCATAATTTAGCTGATGATTCATTTGCCTGTACATAGCTGAATACTTCTAGCTCATTTGGCAGTGTGTGTGTTGGCATAGCAGTCATCATAGAAGCAAAATGTATGTGTTTGTATTTGGGTCTTGTGGCAGATGTGTAATACAAAGGAGCTACTGCTTTGGCATGGGCACTTTCCTGGCTCTGCCCCCATTGTAAGTGTTCTCTGGTTATGATCTGTGATTGTGTCTCATATCGATGTTTATCTGCCTTTTCAGAGCGAAAATAGCATCATTCTGTTTTCCCATTTTTGTCCTGTGATGTTTCAAAGATAGTGCAGCATCGTACAAACACTGTGGAAACAAGACTTTATAACACAGTTTTTCTCAACTGCCATATTAGTTCCTAAAGCAGTTTGTAACCCATCTGTCTCCGTTTGGGAATTGAAGAGCAGGGATTTGCAATCAAGGCGTCAGAATGTGCAGGTGACTCAATTTCTGTGCGGAGTCAAGTATGTTTAAATTAGTCTATGTGGGTAAGTATGTATGTAAGGAACAAAAGACGTAAAGATATGAGGAAATACATACTTTGCTTCCCATTTTGTTGGTGGAACTTGGAGCAAAAGAACATGTTCTGCAGGGTGGACTTAAGTAAGATGTGTGTATGGTTTGCCCTCAAAACATGGTTTAACTAGTCTTTTTTGGTAAGTTAATCTGCTGAATAAAATTCCTGCTTCTAAAGAAGCTGCAGTTAATGTTAATTTTGCATTTACAGAGTATCTAATTTTTTTTTTGGAGAAATTTCAACTAGCCTCCTTAATTTTTGCATTTTTGTTAATATTGAAGCTACAGCATCAAACTGGGATGCTGTGTCTCACTTTTAATTATTCTTCTGCCTTTCGGCAGGCAGAGGAGAATGAAGACATGAGAATGTCTGAGAAGAGAAGGGGCTGGAAGGGAGGAGAGAGAGCAGTAACTTCACTGCTTGTTTGCCTTTGCCATGCAGCGACCACACATTAAACAAACACACCAAAAATTGCTAAAGTGAAACTTGATAATGGCGATATTGACCTGTCTAAGTTAAATTCTGGTTGTGGTTAATCAAGTGAAAATGCTGCTCCAGCGGTGTTATTTTGGGTGCCTTCTTATTAAATGAAAGGAAAATGTAGGATGAAGTAAAACTATTGCGTCTTTACTTGCTGGAGCATTTATTTCCCCTTGTCGATACGTGTATTGTGAGAACATGGAGCATAACAAATAGTGTTTGCATTTAGTTCTGAATACAGGGAGGTCCACAATTACTCTTCTCTCTGTGAAAGCAAGCTCCAAAGCCTGTCTGGCTGCCCAAAGACTTTGCATTTCTGCACATGTGATGGATGGCTTCGTTGAAGCATTGCTGTTGTTGGAGGTCGTGGTCGCAGGAGAGAGGCAATCCATCTCTAATTGAGGGGCAGTTCTACAGAGGCCTTGAATGGCAAGGCAGAGATGTAGCATTTCATTTTTTAATCTGATGTAAAGGGCCAGTGCAGACACTTACCTTGTTTTACAATTTTTTTTAATTATGAAGAAGGCAGGAGCTGTACAAACTTTAACCATTTTAGATACTTTGGCTCACTTCCCAAGTGTAATGAGTCTGGAGGTTGCAAATGTGTGTATTTCTGTGGCCAGATCGCTGATGAGACAGGGAAATCAAACCTCTGGCCTTGCACAGATGGTGTTAGACTTGCCTGTCTGAGCATCCATCCTCAGAAACTGAGGTCTCACAGGCTGCATGATAATAACTAGCAGGCAGTGTCTGTAATCAAGGGGAACATTATGGCCTAGGGAAATTCTTCAGAGCAATTCCCATCAATACAGATAGTAGGTGTGTATTTTAAGTACCTCTGATGATTGGGAGCTTGTGTTAGGGGAGAATCTGAAGGTGGATCTTCTCAGCGACCGGGAAAATTCTATTATGTCTAGTCCCTCATTTTTGTTTTCTAGGTGGCTTAAAGATGTTTGAAGTTATTTGTGATGAGGGTAACTGAGTCCTTTTCAATCAGATGAAGAAGCAACAAATTAAGAGTAACAATTTAACTTCACTGAATGAGTCATAGTTGGACTAGTGTAGCAGGTTTGTAGAACTACACACATTACTAGTCTCCTTACACATCTGTTTTGTTTTTTAAAGTTGAAAAATGAGATCATTCTCTCATGGTGTATTTATTTGGTATTTTAGTTAATTTGGCTAAAAAACTGTGTCTGAATACTGCCTATGTGGGTGATGTCTGTTTGAGAAGAACATAAAACGCTTTCTCTAAGCATGATGAATGCTAATTACTTTTTTTCCCTTTGCTTCTACTCTTAGGCCTGTGGGAGACAGATGTTCCTTAGAAAAGGGAGGGATGAACATCACTTGTTCCAGGCTCAGAAGGAGATGTTAAAACATGAAATGTGTCTGCTGTAGTTCATTGACATGTCTATTCTTAGATCTATTGTTTGAACAAACTTCTCTGAAGGTGACAGGAATCCCAGCACCGTTGGTAGAATCAAAACTAGGAAAGAATTGTGTGGTCACCATAAGATTGGAAATTCAACTCATGCTTGGACTTTGAAAGCCAGAATATATTGTATACCTATTCACCAAACTCAACATTCAGGAGTAAAATATGCAATGTGATCACAATTTTCTCTTTTTTTTGGTCTTGATTCATTTATTTAAACTTTGTTTAGTTGACAGTTTTAAACTTTAAGTATCTAAGGTGATGGAAGTGCAGGACTATAGCTAAAAATGTGCTTCCTTTCGATTTTAGAAATTTGGCTGTTGACCTGTCTCTTTTCAGCCCAATTCTTGTGCTGTGTGCATCATCCTGGTATCTGAACAAATGGCACATAGACTTACTTAGAGGAGAGGAGAGCATGTACCAATATTTTGCTTGTTTGAGGTCAATATTCCTTTTCAAAAACATTCTTAAAAGCAAACATTTTTGTTGTATTTTTGTTTGTCTTTCAGGTTGATCCAGCTTTGAAAGAAAAATTGAAGCAGAACACTGTGACACTGGAATCTGAATATGAGGTAAAATAAATTTGTTGCTTGGGGCTCATAACCTTGGCTACCCTTGATTACCCTGGCCGCTGGTGGGTTGTATCTGTCCCTACCTAAAATTAGATCAGCCATCTGCCTTTGACTCACTGATGTCCAATAAAAACAAGGTTTTATGTAAAGAAAGGGGTTTGAACATGCAGTGCTTCTTTCTGAACACAGCTTTACTTTGATATCCAGCTGCCAAGTACAGTGGTACAAATAAATTCCACTATTTCTGTGGTTAACCCAGTTTATAAATGTGGAGCTGGTGTTGGCCCTGGACGGAATGTGTGTGTGTGTATGTCAGCACTTCTACTGCATGAGTTGTGACGATCTTTAGACTGAATTACCAAACATTGTGCGTGATGTGCTTTATGTTACTTCTTGCCTGTGAAACTTGGGTGTATCTTTCAAACAACTGTCATTTCTTTTACACTGTTTCAGAAA